TCTCACTTTGATCATGTTATTATCGCTATTCAAGAATTCAATAATCTTGAAACAACGAAATTGGAAGATTTAGTTGGTTTGTTGGAGGCACGTGTGATGAGGATTATCGAAAGGAAAGGTGTTGAAGATTTGATACAAGTTGTACATGCTTAGACATGGAAGAAACATGGTGGTTCCAACAAGTTCGAGGGCAAAGGAGATAATACTCAGAGCAAGAAGTCTTGGTTTAACCATCAAGAGCATAAGGCCGATGATAGGGCTTCTAAATCCTCGAAAAAAGGAGAATGAAACTCCTATCAAAAGGAAAAAGAAGAGAAAAAAAGGTGTGCAATGCTATAATTGTAAAAAAAATAGGGTCACTAGGCCAAGAATTGTTGGTACGAGAAAGGCAAGAACGAAGGAGTAAACCTCGCTCTCCAAGATTTAGATGATTCTGAAGACATGGTGGTTATGGCCGCAGTTGCAGATGAGCATGTCAACACCAAAATCTGGTTTCTCGACACAGGTTGTTCGAACCATATGACTTGTCGAAAAGTGTGGTTAGTAGATTTCGACAAGTCGAAGAAGAGGAAGGTCAAACTTCCTAATAATAGCTCGTTGCAAGCAGAAGATACTGGCGACATAGTTATTCAAAGGAGTAGTGGAGCAAAATCTATGATCAAAGATGTACTAAATGTTCCTAGAATGAAGTGCATTCTGCTAAGTGTTAGACAACTGGTCGAAAAAGGTTTATATATGGTTATAAAATATGGAGCCTTAGAACTATTCGACACTCAGAATAATCTATTCTTAAAATCTCCTATGTCGAAGAATAGGAGATTTAAGACCATGATCAATTTGATTGAGGTACAATGCCTAAAAATAGTTGTTGGCCACAAGTACAGTTGGTTCTTGCATTTAAGATTTGGTCATCTGAATTTTAGGTCACTCAATCAACTGATTACTTAATATCTAATAACTAGTATACCAAGTCTTGAGATACCTGACAAACTCTGTGAATATTTCTTAGTAGGGAAGCAATCCATGAAGTCTTTTATTTCGACTAAGCCAATGAGGTCCTCTTTCATACTAGAAGTAGTACATTTAAGTGTATGTGGCATGTTCGAGGATCATACCATTGGTGGAAACAGGTATTTTGTCTCATTTGTCAATGAGTATAATCAAAAGCTTTGGATCTATGTGATCAAGCAAAAGGACAAAGTATTTGAAATATTTAAAAGATTCAAGATGCTTGTCAAAAACTAGAGTAAAAAAAATGTCAAGGTTCTGCGAACAGATGGAAGTGGTGAATACACGTCCAAGATGTTTTAAGAGTTATGTACAGAACATGGTATCGATCATGAGGTAATTGCTCCTTACATGCCTCAATTTAATGAAATTGAAGAAACAAAAAATAAGACAATGTTGGATATAGAGAGATATGTGTTGAAGTAGAAGAATTTGTCAAAGTCCATATACGGTGAAGCTATAGCCACATTTGTTTATACTCTGAACAGGTGCCCTACCAAGAAGCTGAAAAACAAGGTTCCAAAATACGTTTGGAGTGGAAAACGACCATCAGTGAGTCATATGAATGTGTTTGGTTCTATTTTCTACAAACATGTTCCTGATGCAAGGAGAATGAAGCTTTACGATAAAATTGAACCTATGATTCTAGTAGGATATCATAAAACTAGAGCATATAGACTATTCAATCTAATCAATAAGAAGATCATAATAAGTTGAGATATGAAAATTCTGCCTGGGATTAGAACTCAGGTGATGCGACTAATAAGCCATTAATGGGCTATGAAGTTGATGAAGAAAGTAGTGAGCACGAAGAAATTCCAGCCAATAATGTTCCAATCACTATCGAAGTTGAAGCGGATAATCAAGAGAGTGCGGCTAGCACAAGCCAGAGACCTCAAAGAACCAGAGTACTCCCTCTAAGGCTTCAAGACAGTGAAATGGTTGGTGATGATGAAGTAAAATCAGATAGAGATTTGGTTCATTTCACTTTACTTGCAGGGTCTGAACTAACCAACTATAGCGAGGCATTTAAAGATAAACAATGGAAATAAGTTATGGTCGAGGAGTTACAAGCGATGGAAAGAAACAATGCACATGAGCTAGTCGAATTGCCAGCACATACAAAACTTATCGATGTGAAATGGGTGTCAAACTAAAGCACAATCCTAGTGTGTCAATTTTAAGACACAAGGCGAGATTAGCAGCTCGAGGATTTCTTCATAGAGTAGGACTTGACTATTATGAAGTATATGCACTAGTAGCAAGATTAGAGACTGTTCGATTAGTGATAGCCTTGGCATGGAAGCAAGGCTAGTGGACAATTCACTTAGATCTGAAATCAACAATTTTAAATGGTTCCCTAGATAAAGTCGTGTATGTTACACAACCTCCTAGGTTTTTGATACAGGAGGAAGAAAGGAAAGTATATAGGTTGCACGAAATGTTATATGGCCTCAAGAAGACACCTAGGGCATGGAACAAGAAGATCGACTCATACTTGGTCGAATTAGGATTCATCAAATTTGAATATGAGTATGGTGTCTATGTTTAGGTTTTGGCACAAAATATAACAATCATCTGTTTATATGTCGATAACTTGTTAGTAACTGGAAGTAGCTTGGAGAACTTGTCGAAGTTCAAAAAGATGATGAAGAAGGAATTTGAAATGTCGAATATCATAAAATTGTCTTATTTCTTAGGCATGAAATTTCAAATTTTGAAGCAAGGTATGATGCTACAACAAAGAAAGTATGTCAAAGAGATGCTCAATAGATTCAGAATGAAAGACTCAAATCTTGCATCCTCACATGTCGAACCAAATTTAAAGTTGGAGAAGCATGGAGAGGAAGACAGAGTCGATGTCATTTTATTCAAACAAATTGTCGAATCTCTGAGATATGTGTGTAACAGTCGACGTGATATAGGTTTCCTACTTTGACTAGTGAACATATACATGAATGAACCAAGGGTGTCGCACATGAAGGTTGTAAGAAGAATCCTGAGATACTTAAAAGGATCGACAAACTATGGAATTCTATTTCCATGAGATCCTGAAAGCAAAGAAGCTGAGATTACTTGATATTCAGATGCTCATTGGTGTGGAGATAAGGAAGATTGAAGAAGTACAACTTGTTACTTCTTTCAAATATTTGGTTCCCCAATCCCATGATGCTCGAGAAAGTAACTTGTGGTGGTGGCATTATCATCATGAGAGGTTGAATATATAGCATGATCATATGTTACGTGTCAAGCAATTTGGATCAGATATGTGTTGGAAAAGATGGAGGCCGAAGTGAAGAAACCTCTGGTGTTGTAGATCGATAACAAGTCAACCACTAATCTTGCAAAGAATCAAGTTTTGCATGAAAGGAGTAAGCACATTGAGTCTAGGTTTCATTTCCTAAGGGAGAAGGTAAACCATGGTGAACTTGAAGTAAGGAATTACTCGAGTGAAATACAGTTGGCTGACATTTTCACCAAAAGATTGAAGATCGATAAATTTCTAATTTTAAGAAAGAAATAGAAATAGTCCATACCGATTATGATTAGCTAGTGCTTAATAACTTGGATTATTAGAAGGCATGTTAAAAGTATAATTCAAGTTGTGTAACCCAAACCTAAACTCAAGTTGATTAGGTTTGTTATAATAATTATTTAGTACTCAAGTTATTTGATTATATATATATATATATATATATATATATATATATATATATATATATATATATATATATATATATATATATATATATATATTCATTTTAATAATAACATTTAATAATAACAATATTTATTCTTTATTTTTTATTTTTTATTTTTAATTAAAAATGTCTCACGCACTAACATTTAAAATTCCGACAAATATATGAAATTAATAATTTAGTTCAGTTGAATTCTAAATAAATAAAATTTATTTGATTTAATTCAAACAAATATTTTACTTTTAAAACTAAAATGTAACCTGAATACTCCTACATATTTGATTTAGTACTAACTAAGTAACATACATAGGTTTACCAAATAAGTAGTAAAAAGTCTCGGGTCGGTGAATATCAAAAGATGAGAAATGTTACAAATCGAGTGTAGAATATGTATTTAAATGACCACGTGGACGTTACCTTTAGTATGGGACCATCTTGAAACAAAAGCTCATATGAATTAATCTATTTTAACAGTTTTATTAATATATTTAATGAACATGTACTGTGTGTAAAAAAATTTACACTATTTTTCAATAAAAAATTATTAATTTATCTAATTTTCCAATAAATTTCTTTTAATCTATCTAATCTTGTAAATTATTTTAAAATATTATAATGATTTAACGGAATATAACTAGTTCATTTTATAGTTAGTTGTGTTAAGTATTAACAAGTGTGAGTAAGGTGAATAATAGTCACATTGGATAGAAATGTGGTGACTTGAACATTTATAAGTGAGTGAACTCATACATCTATCACCTTAAGGTTTTGAGTGAGTATGTGGTGTGTCTCGGTATCACGAGCCTTTCCTTCGAATAAAGGGAACAACTTACTTGTATCGAAAGTATCCCCATAAGTCGTGGGTTGAGTGTCTCGTTGAAGAATGTCAACGGCGGTACAAAGATGCGGGTTGAGTGTCTCGTTGAGGAATGTCAACGGCAGTACAAAGGTGCGGGTTGAATGTCTCGTTAAAGAATGTCAACGACGGTACAAGGGTGCAGTTGCACTTTCTCTGTTGCATTTACAAAACATTAGTAAGAAAAGTGTTGAACTAATAAAAATTTGAGATATAAAATTAACCAATTATTATAGAGTAGAAGTAGAAGTCAAGATGCATGCAAAGTCAAGAAAAACTATTGATTTCTTTCTCTCTAATCTATATATCACTGTCTACCTCAATTTCTCCTCTCTTTCCTTATAACATTGCAAATAAACTTTGTATTTTTCAATTCCAATTATAAATATATATCAGTCATCATCTTCTTCTTCGTCTTCGCCGTCGTCGTCGCCATGGGAAACTGTTGGCCAAATTCAGATCATGACAGTAAAAACCAACAAAACAGTACTTCTTCTGCAGGTATTAGTTCATCTGATTGAATAATTTGAAATTGGAATTAAAGTCAATGATGAAATTAAACTGATTATTATCGATGAAGGTGCAGATGGGAATAAGGAAAGATATGGCGGAAAAATTGTGACGCCGAATCTGAAAATGTTCACATTAGATGAGTTGAAAAGTGTGACAAGAAACTTCAGGCCAGATACAGTTCTAGGTGAAGGTGGTTTTGGACAAGTTTTCAAAGGATGGATCGATAAAAACACTTACAAACCATCTAAAGTTGGCGTTGGAATTCCCGTCGCGGTTAAGAAATCCAGCGCCGATAGTCTCCAAGGTTTACAAGAATGGCAGGTTTGTTCATTTTCTCTCTATAGAGTCAGATCCGCTGATACCAGATTATAAATTTAGTATATTTTGAGTGCAGAGTGAAGTGAAATTTTTGGGGAAATTCTCGCATCCGAATCTGGTTAAACTACTTGGATTTTGCTGGGAGGAAGATCAGTTTTTGCTTGTGTATGAATACATGCAAAAGGGGAGTTTGGAAAGTCACATATTCAGAAGTAAGAAATTAATTGATTTTATAGTTTATGATATTAAGATGATGAAATGGTGTTTATGGATGTTTAATTAAAATTAATTATAGGTCCAGAACCACTTTCTTGGGATATAAGGATGAAGATAGCTATAGGAGCTGCTAGAGGATTGGATTTTTTGCATACTTCAGACAAGTCTGTTATTTATAGAGACTTCAAATCCTCTAACATTTTGCTTGATGGGGTGAGTTGTTGTTAATTAAGTTGATTTGTGAGGATCATTAATGGTTAATTGGGATTAGTTAATTGAATAATGTTGATTAATGGTTAATTGGGATTAGTTAATTGAATAATGTTGATTAATGTTAGGATTTTAATGCAAAGTTGTCTGACTTTGGGTTGGCAAAGCTTGGGCCAGTCAATGGGAGGTCACATGTAACAACAAGAATCATGGGCACATATGGCTATGCTGCCCCTGAGTACATGGCTACAGGTAAATTGGGAATTCTATGTTTCTTTCTATATTAGTGTTGAAATTAGTAAGAGATAGAATGTTAAAATAAATTATTTTTGGTGAATCGAGTTAAAGTTTTAAGTTCGCTCTACATCTTAAATTATGTTTGTTGCAGGTTTTTTTTCTTTAAATTTTTGCAAATAGATCTAAACGGGACAAACATGTCTGTTTGTCACCCCTAACTTCATCCTATTTTTCAGTGGATGCAAGTGAGATGAACTTGGCTTTTGTCACTTTAGGGTTTTATGAATGACAGCATTCATTTTATTCCTTTTTGTCGTGTCTAATCAAAGTTGTCGTTCTCTCTACTTTTTGCCCACTACGTTTGATTTTTAAGCGGACGAACATAAATGTTTTTATCGCTTCTTTTGTTTCAATAATTGGTTCATTTGAAAAAATATGACTATATGCGTATTTGTGAAAATTCTCTCATTTAAACTCGAGTACAATTAATCACAATTTTAAACATTTTAGACAATAATAGTTGAGATTTCACTCTAAAATTGAAGTGAATTCGAACTCTGATTTAATCTAACAATAAAAAACACTTTATACATTCATTAATCATCAACTTAATGTAACTAGCTATATATTTAAATTGCTCTAATCATACAATACATAGTCATAATAAATTTGTGAATATTAAAATATCATGTTTTTAGTCAAATTCTATCTTGTATTTTTTCTCCCATAAATAAACTATGTTCGTACAACTTTTGTCAAACACTTTGGTCAATTGGTATTTGGTAGAACCAACCAAATAACGTTGCTTTTAAAATACAATTTTGAAGCTTATCCCATGGTGCAGGCCATGTATATTGTATCGTAATACTTCTGTCTTCTGATGAAGAAATATTCCTAAAATTCAATCAAATAAATAGATAATAAAAAAACTCCTTAGGTTCTATCAAATAAATATTCCTCCTAATATATTAATTATTAATTATTGACAGGTCATCTTTATGTGAAAAGCGATGTATATGGTTTTGGTGTTGTTCTTCTAGAAATGCTAACAGGCTTGATAGCACTTGACCCAGCTAGGCCAACAAATCAGATGAATTTGGTGGATTTCACAAAGGGATCTCTCCATGACAAAAAGAAACTCAAAAAGATAATGGATCAAAGATTGGATCAACAATATCCATTACCAGCAGCATTTCTTATAGCCCAACTTATTCTTCAATGTTTAGAGGCTGACCCAAAAAATAGGCCTTCTATGGAGCAAGTATTGGAAATTTTAGAAAAGGTGCAAACTATTAAATACAAACCCAAAGTTAAAAAAACGACAAGTTCGCAACAACAACAACAAAATAAGAGACCAAAAGAACATCCTATCAATGATCAATAACAGTCTCGGTCTCTGAGTTCTCATAACGATGGTCTATCTAAATCACAAATTTATTCTCTATCATAGTCTTCGATCTCAAATTCATCTGAATTATTATGTAATTTTAATATTGATTATGTTATATATTTCGTGTATATGTGTAATTTCTATTTTATTAATTGCATATATAATTTATGAGAATCAACATACAAATGTGTAGTTTTGTCACATTTTGTGTAAATTAATAAATTTATTTATATTTTATCTATTTGGTAAATAACATCTCCCAAATAGATTAGGTAAAATTATGGGTGACAAACAAGGATGCATCCACAAAAGTCTAAAAAAATAGCACATAGATTTATTTCTTTTTAGTCACAATTAACAAAGGAGAATTTTTCTTTTTTTTTGAGCTAGGTGCTATTTTACTAGATTGTATACCAGTTTTTTCTTATTTACTTTTAAAACTCTTGTGTCTAGTTTATTATGAGACAGTTAGTGAAAAAAAAAATTTAAACATTATATCAGATGAATTGAATCCACTCATTAATTAGAAAAAGAAAAAAAAATCAATAATAAGTATTCTCTATATTTTATGGGGTGTTTTTCCACCACGGTGAAAAGTCACAACTATTTTTAAAATTTAGAGATGCATTTCTGAATCCACCTTTTATACACACTCGTCAGCGCAAATTTGTGTGTCGCTCTTATTTTGTCAAAATTTAGTTTGGAAATGCATTTCAATATCAATATTAGGATAAGTGCGAAGATGCATCTTTGTAAAAAATATTCATTCAAAACTCAATGAGTTTTACAGAATTTAGGGTTTACAGAGATGCATTTTCGTAGAAACCCTTAATTCAACTAACACATTTATTTCATATATTCTCGTCAGACTCTTTCCCTTCCTTCTTTATTTGTTGCAAACTCAAACTCAGAAAAAACCCATTTGAGCTCGTGAGAAAGTTTCTTTAAGTCCATTTTTAAAGGTTCAACACTACTACTGCTTCACTACATTCAATCCCAAATCATTTTATTCACTTCATTAAAGTTTTTCATACACAACTCTCATTCGGTAAGTTTCTCATTTCATTTCTTTTTTGGAGATATGATGAATGAATTAGCTAAAATAGGTTGTTTAAAATGCATTAGGTAGTAGTTACATTCAAAATATGTAGTTGGAATCAACATGCATTCTTATTCCTAATTCATAATTCTTGTGTTACACTTGTTACTAATATTTTATCTCAACCAATTTTTGGTGTGGATCATATCTCACTTTCCTTGCATATTCGAGTGAGAACCTGATCCTGGTTACACTGGGGATTACCCACGAGCTTTCCTCTTTGCGTCATCCAAATGGAATAATACGATCGATCCCTTCCATGTGTATCTTGACTGTCATGTGGCAAATGACATTGCCTTATAGCTATACGATGGTCATTACCAGACGCTTCAGTTGGACGTCATTTCACTATACTCCGGATAACTAGCTTGTGGGTCAGGTTTGATGTATCTGTATCTTCTCGAACGAGTGATGCACTAGTTTAGTTCTTTGTATATTATTCTAAGACATCCCTTAGAGTCTACTTCTTCCATCATCCATTGCAGTGATCTTAATGTCATACTTAAGGATCTCAATAGTAATCTGGTGCCAAGGGACTATCGCAAGGTGAGAATTCCTATACAATGGGCTTATGTATATGGCTACATCACATGGTTCTATAGGGTGTCACATCCTATCGTGACACCAAAGGCTCCTAGAAGATCACCTAGGTCATATAACTAGGAGATACTTAAGGCTAAGGATGACCACACCTAAGACGATTTATCAGTTTGTCAATGTATTGTAGATATGGAGAGATCAGGAATAAAGGTTGAACTTTTTGAGGAAGGCAGACCCCGGTTAGCCCTCGTAGAAGGCATTATGGGTGAGGCACGGATACTTTGCAGTACATGTGAAGGAGAAACTTAAGGGTTAGACATACCCAGTAGTTTATGTTTGTTTGTATTATTTTTTATTTATTTTTGGAACAAATTATATATGGTTGGTACATCTTGAATTTAATTTAATTAATGTATGGATTTTTATAGAAATGCATAATATGTTTGAATCAATTTATGACACTCTTAAATGACAAAAAAAATGACCTAAAATATAAGTTGGCCAAAAAATATCAAATTTATGATAATGTAGGTGCCTAGAATGCATTCAGGGGAGTTTCAAGAGTTAAATCTTTGAAATATCATCTATCATGTGCAATAAACATGCTTCTAATAGCTTAAAAAGAATTCAGAGGGCTTTATAGAGATACATCTTCGAATGCACCCCAAAATTTTTTACAATATGCATCTCTAGACCAAGTTTTAGCAAAATAGGATGAGTGGCTGAGTTATGAAAGTTGGTGTGATTTTAGGTGCATCCATAGATGCATCTTCAGACACTAATAAGATCATTTTTTAGCTTTTATAAGTGTGACGCGCACCCAATGGAATGAGATAAGTATTACCCAAAGAATTTCCCTTAAATTATAGGTGTGTTATGATTAATTTGGATCAAGCCCGTTTGGTCATATTACATCTCTCTCATATTTTAGGAATTCTAACATTTTTTATTTTAAACTTTTTTAAAAGATCTTTTAGAATCTCTTTTTTTGAATGGATACTTTTGGTTTGCAGTACTATTCTTCTTTCCTACTTTATCATTATCACTTTCAAAACTCCAAAATATTTCAAAAATAGTTGTTGCACCCCAAAATTTGACCAACAGTTCAAGAGGTATGAGTACCCATCAAGAATATGAAGCTAGCCAAGAAAGTTGCTCAAGTGTTCAAAGGTTGATATCTTTGTCAGAAAACTCAAGAGATCCTCAGGGAGGTTGGTTGAAACCAAGGTTGTGTGTCTCATAACTTGAGAGTTGTGGGAGCCCCTCAGATGATTCTGAGACTATGAGGAGGGACTTGAAGCTTTGAGAAAGCTTATGAGATGTCTTGAAAGCCATCATGAAACCGAGAGAGGTCATTGTACAAGAATTCAGAAGATTCAGCTATGAGTAGTGGAATTAGGGTTTGACTGGGTCAACCCTAGGTCAACTGATGATTTGGAGAAGGTTGAGACCTCATCCAAGAGACATGTGATCATGGAATGATGAATTGAGATGCTATAAGGATGATTCCTAGACCAACTCATCATGATTGAGGAGTTTGAGAAGTTTCAAGCTAGGGTTTCTAAGGCTTGACAGTGTAAAATCCCCTAGTTTGATCCTTATCTTCAAGGCAGTTTAGCTCAAGATGTGATTGTCATATCATCTTCCCCAAAACATGAATGTTGTAGAGCTTGCTCTTAGATTTAATTTGAGTACTAGAAGTCCTTGATAGGATTTGTAGAGCTCAAGTTATGACTTTGACAAATTACAGGTCATCTGAGGTATGTGAATCTGGGTCCTTGAAAGTCATCCAACTTGCATCCAACTTTTTCCCTAGTAGGATGATTCCTATGAATTCTTGGTCAACATGAATGTTGTTCCTCATCTTCTTAGCTTTCTAGAGAGTACTAGAAGTCCTTGATAGGATTTGTGGAACTCAACTTATGGCTTTGACAAGTCAAGGGCATTTTGGTCATTTGGACATTATAGGTCATTTCAAGCATAAGGCCATATCTCCTAGTTCCAAGCTTCAAATGGAAAAATCTTCAACATCAAACTTGCTTAGAATGATGTTTTAAGGCTAGTAAGAAGGTCATGAGATGTTGAAAAGGCTTGTATCAAAAAATGATGAAAATGGCCTAAAATGGAGGCATAAGTTAAATAAGTTGAAATTGAAAATTGGAAATCACAAGTTATACATCCAAACCATGTCATATAATAGGTCATTTTGACTCTAAAAGACATTCTAAGAACAATGGTTCATCCACAATTTTGATTTGAGGCCTAGAGCATAAGGATGCTTTGGAAATGGCTTACTTGCATCTTAAGGTACCAAAGCAAAACTCAAAGGAACTCAATAAACAAGGTAGTTATGCATGGTAACACATCATAAATCTCATATGGGGAGAATTTCAAGTCAGTTACAAAGGTCACAAGGACTATGGCATGAGATAGCATATGGTGAGAATTGAAATCAAAATGTCATGACATGAGATTTCCATTTTCTCATTGGAAGGTCCTAGATGGTTCTAGATGATTCTAAACCACTCTATATAACATGTGTGACTTGCTCAAAGCAAAGTTTGGTGAGAGAAAATTGAGAGAGGAGAGATTGCATTGTGAAATTTCCATTGAAGATCAAGAATCGGTTCCATTGATTCACTTCATTTCCATCCCTTTTTTCAATTCAAACACATTCCATAGATCATAGTGAAGCTGTGCAGATCAAATTGGGGGAAATTCCATTGATGAATCGTGTATGAGCTTTTGGATTTTCACCTCTGCAACTCAAGATCGGTTTCCAAGAATCAAGCAGTTTCAACCCCTCTTTTTGCATACAGAAGCAAGAATACTACTCAGTGAAGGAATTGGGAAAGATTGAAGCATTGATTTGAGGGATTTCTTCATCTGTTCACTCGATTTTACCAGGTTTGCAACTTTCTTCGTGCACCTTAATTTATGCATGATTGATTAGATTTGATAGGTTAGAATGGTTAGAAATCATTAGGGGAAGCTTTCTGGAAAGTTTGAAGAGAATTGGTGATGGTTTTGTTGTTGACACCATTTCTTTATGGACCAAGAACTCCTTGAATCTTGAGTAATAATCTTAGTTCTTTAGTGGAAGTTGATCAGTGATAGGAGGTGAACATTTTAGTGTAAACAATTTCAAGAATCTTGAGTTTTGATTTTCAAGCATAATTTGAAGTTGCTATCGGGTTTCAAGTTTGAGTGAGATTCAATGGAATTTGAGATCATGGTTAGATTCAGTGTTGAAAATCAAGTGGATTAGGGTCTTGAATTTTAATTATTGATGAAGTTTTAAGGAGATACGAGTTGAGAGGATGAAGCTGCTAGTGTTAAGCTTCCATGGATTTCC